ACACGGATCAAATATGGACAACTATTCCATCCATCAAACTCATGCTCACTCCATCAACGTCACAAATTTAATGCTTCCTCTTTCTTTTACTATAAGCAAAAATTATTAAAATTACACGATTTAATGTTAGTTAAAACTAATTAAAAATAATAAAAATGTAAAATATATGCTCCTCTAGTTTTATTTCTAAGGCTAAGAAAGAAGGTTTTTCTTTTGTTCCATTTATAAATTATTTTATTAAATTTTTAGCATGAATTTACTATTTTATCCTTCATTTATAATAATATAGATGATTATTCTTTTTGAAATGCATATATATTAAATCGAGACAAAGTTGAAAAGTTGTTATATTTTAATGGATAGTTAATGTAGTTTAAAAAATTTTCTTAGTTTGTATAAAATATGATTTAAGTGTCTTATAGATAGGATCACTGAACTACATATTTTTTCAATTATATTCTTGTTTGTAAGGAGAGCATATGAGAGATAATAAGTGAAAATTTATTATAAAGAGATAATAAATAGTATATGACAAAAGTAAAAAGATTAGTTTAAAATTTCAGACAAAATGAATTCATTTCTTATATTTAAGAATACTGCTTAGGAGAGTTATTTTCTTTTGAAAAGAAACGGAGGGAGTATATAATTAGAAATCCTGTGCAGTATCTATCGAATAGATTAAACTAGTTAATTTGGATTATCCATATATATATATTTATATCACTCATACTTTGCGAAGGCTTTATTTTTCTTTTTGTTTTTAAGCGAAAAACTTATTATTTTCTGTATGATTCTTCAGATTCAATAAAGGTAACACTGTTTTGTTATAAATTATTGAATAATAAGGATTATATATATAATTAATCATAAATCACTAGCCTTTTTTTAACGATTCTCCAGTTCAAATGATCCTTCAATTCATAAGAACTTAAGTAATTAGGTTGCATGTTTGATTCAAAGAATAATAGGGAATATTAATGTATTGGAATGATAATTATATTGCAAAATGCATAGTATTTGTTTGGTATGCCATTAAGGAATCATAGAATGAAATTTATATTTTATCCAAAAAATAAAAATAAAGGAGATATTAATGATCTTTTTGATAACCCCATCAAGACCAAAAAGGGAGGATATAAATGTCTAAATGTTTATTAATGGATGATATGGAATGGATATCTGATAATGAAAATTTCCGCTCATATGCCTAAAAAATTGTGGTAATTATTTGTGCTTCGTTTGCTTAATTGTTATAGTTTCAGACGTTTATCATAATTTACCCGCACACGCATACATTAAATATATAAAGCCATCCCATCCACTTGGGCCAGAATATTACCAAAGGAAAAAAAATAAAAAACATATAAAAAATATAAAACAAACTAATGTTCGTAAATTCATTTTGCAGTTTCTGGGATTGAAATTATATTTTGTGCATCTTTTGAAGACTTGGAAGTCAGCGGCCAAGAAAAAGCACATGCCACTTTCTTATCTCATTGTTCTCTGTTTTTTGTTTTTTTTGGGTACAGGTATCTCTTTGTACTCTTCCACGATGTGGTCCATCAATTTTGGATCTTGGCCTTTACTGATAATATTCCCAAAAACGAAATTACATGGCATGGAGGTAAGAGATTATTTAAAAGTTTTTAATATTGAAAAAATAATAAATGATTTGATATCCAGAATAGATATAAAAAATGAAAACAATATTTATACATGTTGATAAATAAAAAATGATGATACAAAATTGGTTTTTTACATGTATCAATCTATTTGAAGTTTACGTTTCAGACTATATAATATATATAATAAATTGATTTGAAAAAAAAAATTATACATCAACGTTTTGGAATTTAAAAAAGAAAAAATAAAAAAGGAAATGGAATGACAAAAAAAAAAAGCCAGATGCCGAAGTCCCCTTTTTAACACATATAACTTATGGAAATTAATTATAGAGAAAATTTTACTAAAAGACTTATAATAAATAGTTAATAATACCTATTATGAAGGTTCGCAAAATTTACCATTACACTAAAAGTCAAGCTAGACATGATTAATATGATAGAAAAGCTTTTTAACAGAATTAATATGATAGGATTTATTTTTGGGCACAATATGATAGAAAATTCATCATGCTTAGCACTGAGAGCTGAGACCTGAGTGCTTCCAATTCTTACCCATATAATAATAAAGCGTGCATTTATCGGTTGAGGCGTGGCTTTTTTCTATTTATTTCACAAAAATGCAAAGCTGATTTCCTAATTATCCAAATCATTTAATCTAATATTATGATATTATAATTAAATTTTAGGAGCATTACCAAGAAATCCAATAAAATTTAACTATTAAAAAGTCTCAATAGCAAATAATCAGTTTGAACTGTTGTTATTTTCTATTTTAAAACTTGTTATCACTTGCTCTTCACTTATGGATGTACTTTAGGGTAATACAATCCCATTTTTAAGTCCTGATTGTAGTTCTCTCTTAAATTTTGGACATTGATAAAAATTTTGCAATTTACAGATTTTACGGCAACGCACCAGCAAAAAGTATATTTTGATAAAAATTATATCTTGATGTAATAAGATATTTTTTTCCAATGGAACTGTTACACTATATTTTTAGTGCAGTTTTACTCCTAATATATATATATATTTTTTTAAGTAGCAAAAAGTATCCTAAACTATTTGAGATACTGAGTATTGCTAATCACTTTAAAATATTGGATGCTACTAAAAAAAATATCTTACAGTGTCAACTGCTAAATACTGAGTGTTACTCAAAAAATATTTCAAACCGTTAGATACAAGATGTTAAATACCGGAAAGTATTGGAAAAATATTTCAAAGAGTTCTGAGTGTAATAGAAATTATTTTAACATATTAGGTATCACTAGGAAAAAAACTGAGGCGGCTAGATAATTTTTTGGGGGGAAAAAAGGCGCTCACCATCCTCATTTTACCCCAAAACGATGTAGTTTTGGGGTAGAGGAGGGGCACCGGAAGCCAGGTCCCGTGAGATGTAATATTAATTGTCTGATTGGACTTTTTTTTCCTTTTTGGCTTTTTAAGTTCACTTTTCTATTTTAAACTAACTAACTTGATGTTTCTACTAATTTAAAATTTGATAGGCTCCCATTTTCACATCCAAATCTGACATGTTCTTCATCAATAACTAACTTAGAACAGCACATATCAAAGCATGAAATGTAAGAAAATAGTTAGGTTCATCTTCCTAATATTATCAGCAGATCAGAAGGCTAATATTGCTGTCAAATATAGAATGTTTTCCGATTAGTTCATATTATTTTGAATATCCATTCTCTTATGAAAATTGTACGTTCTTAAATTATTTTTTGGAGCTACAACCAAATAGGCATAGCCTTCGTCGGATGTTTTGAAGAACTATTAAAAAAAAAACTAAAGTATACGCTTGCTCCTTTAAATTTTTATAAGATTTTAATTTGGTCTCTTAACTTTAAAAAGCATACATTTAGTTCTTTAACCCTAAAATCATTTAGCTTCAATGATAATTTTTTGTAACAATCATGAATTTTTTAAAAATTAAACTTAATATGTTAGTATTTGAGAATATTTTTCAACATTTAAGATTTTAATGTCATTATCTTTATAACAAAATTTGGGGTTAAATGACTAAAAGTATATATATATATTTTAAAGTTAAGGGAACAAATTGAAACCTTGTACAAAGTTATAGGATCAAATATATCATTTAGCCAAAAAAGAAAAGAAAAGAAAAAGACAATGCTTAGCCAAGGTGTACACTAGAAAATTGTAAAGAAAATTACTTGGAAAATCTAAATACGAATTATCCAACGTGTCAGTGCTAAAAAAAAAAAAGAATTATCCAACGTGCAAAAGTTTTTTCTCCCCCAAATTTAAGGCACAACCGGACAATACTTTTTCACATATGTGAATTTGCTACATTCCGTATGAGATTCAAACGGCTAAAATCTCTGATAATAATTAATTTAATAGTTCTCTTATTTGAACACAATAATTTTGAAAAAATAGTTAAAATATTGCGATGAGATTTTTATGCTAATTTGTTGAGATATATATTTTTTGTATCTCTTATATATAAGTAGACACATCCCTGCTTCATCTCCGTGTGATCGATTGAGATCGATTAGTTTCGTAAAAGAGAGAGATCAATGGAACTTGCAAAGCATTCCATTTTCTTCTTGGCACTCATTCTCTTATCGTTCTTTCAAGCACCCACTTTTGCAGCCAGGAATGTACTAATATTATTGACTCACTATAAGTTAGTTATTTTCTCTTCATATTTTATGTAATAAATTTTTATTAAGCTTATCATGAATTAATCTTTTTTTTTGTCATTTCATTGATGAATTCAGTGTTACATAGTGTGCTTGGGATCTCATTCGCACAGTCGAGAAGGAACAAATGCAGATTTGCACCGAGTTACACAATCTCATCATGAACTCCTAGGATATTTTTTGGGAGGGTATGGTATTATTCCAATTTTTTAATTAATTAATTACCCTTAATTATCTTAAGCTATCTTGTTTCTTCACTAATTATGAGTTGAGATTTTGATATGTGTGTGTGTGTGTTGTAATAGAAACAAAAGATGGTTTTCATACATTACCTCCGGTTTTTAATACAAGAGTTTACTTGACTTTTATTTGAGTTTTAAATATTAAGACCTGAATTTACTTTGTCTTTCATATTTATTCTTTTTTTAAAGATAGTTCTTAGAATAATAGTAGTTCTAGCTAATACATTTAATTGACCAAAATATTTTAAGAAAAACGTCACCTATTTATTATAAACAACTAATTTAACTAGTTTTTTTAATCTACTTAAATTAGTTAACTAGATTTTATATTGAGGATTGGACGTAGTATTTAATTTGTTGTGGCATCTGTGATACGCATATATACAGGACATCCTAAAGCGTCGAAGGTATTCAAAAGCAAAGATAGGAGATTACACACGACTCGTTCATGGGAATTTATGTCCCAGACAGATGTTAACGGTGTAGCCCGGGGAGGTTCTTGCTTCAAGAAGGCTAGATTTGGTGCTGACGTTATCATTGCAAATATTGACGGTGGTAACCAAATTACATTCCACTATATTAATTAATTACACCATTATATTTCAGCTCTTTAAAGATTTATTACATTAGACAAAAAGATTATTTCATTTTTCTTACGTTAATTAATCAATAGTTCAAGTTATGAAATTGCATGTTATTGCATGCGCTGGCCTGAATCTCAAAGCTTTTCTGATGAGGGAATGGGACCCATTCCTTCAAGGTGGAAAGGAGCCTGTGATGTTGATAAAGACCCTTTAGGCTTTAGGGTTTCGCTGTAATAGGTATACAAAACCAAAATTAATTTCAATTAAAGCATCACAATATATGATTATTTTATTAAAACAAAAATTATATGATAACAATGCGCCATTTATTTTCATGCATATACATATACCTAAAGAGTGGCATAAAATTAAAGAAAAGGCATAACTGTAATTAGTTCATAAGAAAACTAAAGAGTAATAGCTGAACAGTCAAAACAAATTACTATAAATTATAATATACTACCTCAAGTCTTAAACATATAAGAGTTAGATTATAGTGCAATTTATATTTAGGACCGGACGTACTACATTCATGATCTCCTTAAAATATTTTTATACAAAATTAAATTATATATCAGTTAGTTTGGAAAAATGATGAAATATACTCCTCTGATCCTTAATATAAGACCTATTTAACTAATTTGATAGGATTAAGAAAGTTAGATAAGTTCGTTAATTATAAAAAATATGACATGTTTTTTCTAAAACACCATAATCATCTTCCTTAATATCCTCTCTCCCTCTCCTATTTGATTATGATTAAGGGAGTACTTATAGGAGTAATTTACGAAAAATTGATAAATATGATAAATAAGTTTTATATTTAGGATTAAAATGAACTTAACAATTAGATCCTATATTAAGGACCGGTCCTTACTATAAATTTATTTAATTTTTATTTTGGTCCTAAATATAAGACCCTAATCCACTTTGTCTCTAATATTTATTTATTTTTTTCCAAGATAGTCCTTGTAATAATGATAGTTCTAATCAATATATTTGATTAGCAAGGATATTTTAGAAAAGATAATATCTATTTATTACAAATAATTAAATTAACTAGCTAGTTTTCTTAATCTTCTCATATTAGTCAACTGTATCTTATATTAAGAACCGGAGGACGTAGCATTAAATCTCATCTCTCAACTAGCTCTAATTTGATCAAGAGTAGTTGATAGGAGCAAGTTGAAGTCTTGTATTATGAATGCAGGAAGTTGATAGGAGCAAGGTTCTTCAACAAGGGCTATATGAGTGATGCTAGGGGTGCTGCAAGCTCAAGTGAAGGACTGAAGACTGAACTTCACACTCCAAGAGACTACGATGGCCACGGCACTCACACTCTCTCAACAGCAGCAGGCTGCTTTGTTCACGGCGTCAATATCTTTGACCGCCTGGCCAACGGTACTGCCTCCGGCGGCTCCCCCATGGCAAGAGTCGCCGCCTACAAGGTCTGCTGGCCGGACATGTATGACCAGTCCAGCCTCTCCTGCCATGATTCCGATATACTCGCCGCCTTCGATATGGCCATACACGACGGCGTTCATGTCATTTCCGTGTCTCTGGGAAGTAATTTTCCTCAGAGTTACTTAAACGGCATCAATGTCGTCTGCTCCGGTGGAAATGCGGGTCCATTCCCTCAATCTGTCATCAATGTCGCGCCTTGGGTCTTCACAGTAGCTGCTAGCACCATAGACAAGGACTTCCAAGCTCGAGTTCAACTCCGCGATGGCCAAATCTTCCAGGTACATATATATATATATATATATATATATTGTGCGTGTGTATCCCTTTTCTCACTTCTATATATAATTTGATATAGCTTCGATATGCAAGTCAAATTGGCCAAGTTATTTTAATACAAAAGACAAACCTAATATATACTTAATTTTCAAAAATCTAGTACTTAGCTTGTTCATCGACGTGTAATGTAATATCAGGGAGCAAGCCTTTCTAAAGCATTGCCACAAGACAGGTTCTACCCGCTCATAGCCGGTGCGGAGGCAAGGAGGTCTAATTCAACCATTGATGATGCGCACGTGAGAACTATTTTCTCAAACTGTTTCCTCTTTGATTCTGCAATCAAAGACTTGTTTTTTTTTTTGCAGAGAGCTAGATAAATAGACTGATTACTCAAATATTGTTCTGCAAAGGAACTAATCACGCACGTTTGTCTGCATGATTAATGAACATCCTTGTTCTTTTTTGCAGGAATTTGTGTTTAATAGGGACGATAGATCCCAAGAAGGTGAAGGGAAAGATCTTGGTTTGCTTGACAAGTGATGATGATGATGGCTATTCAGTGAAAATGGAGAAAGGGTATGAGGCGTTACAAGCTGGTGCGGCTGCAATGATCCTTTGCAGTAGTAGTAAAAAAGATGCCACAAGAATTTACATGCATTTGCTTCCAGCAGCACACATTAAATACAAAGACACTCTATCTTTGCTTGCTTACCTTAAATCAACCAAAAATCCTATGGCAACTATTCATCCTCCCAGTGACGTCTTCAACTCCAAGCCTTCTCCTGCAATAGCAGATTTCTCCTCCAGGGGACCAAGCACGTTCGTACCAGAGATCCTCAAGGTTAATTCTAATTTCTACATATAACGATAAGTGGTAAAATGTTTGGTTTTAATCTTTGGGTGAAGGCTTTTGTTGTAACTTTTGGTTTTGGACATTTTTGTAGCCTGATATTACTGCTCCTGGGGTGAATATTTTGGCTGCATATTCACCTGCTGCTGCCCTTACAGGATTTTATCTTGACAATCGTCGAAACTTTTCTTATAACCTTCTGTCTGGAACTTCTATGTCTTGTCCTCATGTTTCTGGAGTTGTCAGCCTTCTCAAAACTTTTCATCCTGATTGGAGTCCTGCTGCTATTAAATCTGCTATCATGACAACATGTAAGTTCATCTTTTTGTTATGAATTTAAAATTAAACTAAGTACACTATCACTTTTTCCTTCTTTATATGGTCCAAAGATAATTTACTTTGCAAAACTTATTGGGGATGACTGTTATGAATCCTATATTGAAAAGCCTCACAAGTAAAGTGAGGTTTATAACTATATTGGGGGCTTTCCTTTCCAACAAACTCGTTTTTTGTGATGAACTCTCTTTTTGGACTTATACTCATATCATCACTAGTGCTTTCATTGATGAGTGGTCAATCTCATGTTGAGGCTGACACTAAGAGAAGTATTGTAGAGTAGAGCCATTAGAGATATCGGCTATCAAATGGAGATGAATGCAAGGGATTCTCTTACTCAATATGCTAGTCTTTTAAGATAGACTTTCTCCTTGAACTTGCATTCATAACGTACACAGTATGACCAACTCAAGATTTTTCTACAGTATAATATAACTAAAGAAAAAATTATTAAAGTTGTTCATTATCTGTCTCTCTTTCTCTTCCAGCTCTCTCCTCTAGTTAATGTATATATATAGCATTTAACAACTTCGGTTCTACTTATGATGGTTGTTTTTCCAGCAAAGACAAGGGACAGTACTGGCCATCCAATGCTTGCTGCGAGTGATGCAAAGGGCACAATGAAGAAGGCAACTCCATTTGAGTTTGGGTCAGGTCACATTAGGCCAAACCAAGCCATTGACCCTGGCTTGGTCTATGACTTAACCTTAAAGGACTACCTTAATCTTATGTGTGGCCTTAACTACAACGCCACAAATTTAAGATTGTTCTATGATGCTCCTTACAAGTGTCCTTATTCCTACAATATTTTCAACTTCAGTTACCCTTCAATTACCATCCCTGTCCTCTATTCCTCAGTCAATGTGAGCAGGTCCCTCAAGAACGTTGGCTTGCCAGGCACGTACGTGGCTCGAGTGCTCTCCCCTCCGGGTCTGACCATTAATGTGGAACCTAAGACCTTGACGTTCGACAAGGTTGGTGAAGAGAGAAGTTTTACTTTGACAATTGAAGTTATAAGGCATGGTCCTGAGACTACATTCGGAAGGACAATTTGGTCCGATGGAAAGCATTTTGTGAGAAGTCCTATAACTGTTGGTGGTGTTCTGGTTTAGAATGTTCAGTAGCAACTACTATGTCCATGTATTATAAATCTAGCGGTTTGTATTCCTTTAGGATTAATTATGAACTTCTCTAGGTTTTGAAGTTATTTAATAACAATTTTTGAAAATAAACTATTCTTATTAGTGATTAGAAGAATAATATAATATTACGTACTTTATATGAAAATGTACGAAAACAAACATTATCTTACTAAATGAGATCGACTACATGGATTGCACAACATTTTGCTTTATCAATCATCAAATTTTGGGATAAATTGTTAACAAAAAAAATTCTCATTTAATAACTTCACTAAGTATTCTTTTTTGTCTTCCTCTACTCTTTTTATGAAGACTCCATACTTGATCTACCCTTTTTATTGTCTCCTCCAATGGCCCTTTTTGTACATGTCTAAACTACCTGAAACAATTTTCTACTATTTTCTCTTCAATAAACACTACATTAACTTCTTTAATTTTTTCATATATTTTCATTATAAATCTTTTTTTTCCCCCCCATATGACCTTATATTCATCTCAACATACATCCTCATCTCACCTATCCCAACTTTAGCAATTAAAAAAAAATACGATCAAATAATTTGTATAATTAAAAGCCATTAAACAACTTTTCAAATAAGACCCCAGAAGAAAAGACTGCATCACTCTAAAATAAAGGTGTTATCTTGCTTTAATTTCATACATCATGCAAATGTTGCGTCCACACCAACGCTGCGTATTCTAAGCAAGGCATGAACAGATCATGAATATTGTAAGCTCACCAACATAATCTCTCTCTCTCTCTCTCTCTATATATATATATATATATATCTTCAAACAGCTAATGAATCAATTTCGTTGTTCCTCAATGAAAATGGCAGGAGCTTAGCTTGTTCCTTGATTGTGCTGGCCATTGCGTTGCTGATATCAAGCTCTGAAGCTGAGAGCCTCACAATAAGTCGGCGGCCTCATTTGACTGCTGTAGTGAAGTTAGCCCACATATCCAACCCTGTGTACCATACTTAACCAGATTTGTCTATGATTCCTAACAATTGTGCCTTTAATTTTACGTTCCCCGCAATTCGTCAACACAATGATTGCCACAAACCGTAGGGCTCTTCAATTTCTTTTTCCACATTAGTTAGATGATTAGTTTTACCTTCTTTTTGGATATGTATGTGTATATATTATTAACCTGTTAGTTAGTTAATAATACCTCTTATCCTTAATGTAAAACCTTGATAACTAATTTAGAGATATTAAGAAAATTAGCTAAGTTGATTATTTATAACAAATTAAATATGTGTTGGCTTTTATAAATAGCCCCATTCAATCATATGCATTAGAACTACTTTTTGGTGAAAACCTCTTTGTATAAGCAATAAGGATACTTTGAAAAAAATTATAAATTTAAAAGACAAAGTAAATTAAGATTTATATTTATGTTTAAATTTAACCCTGAACTAGATAGTATTAGATTATTAGCTTATTAACTTGTATATTTACGTGCGTGTGTAGCAAGTTGGAAGATGATAATTAACTCTTCTTGTTTGCTTATGCAGGATTCCGCCATATGGGATATAGAGAGTTCATGAATGGAACCACAAACTTGCTATAAAATCTTATCATAAAAAATTAATCTTATCATAAAATCCTAAAATATTATCCATGTAAATTTTTTATGAAATTTTCTAAATGTATTGGTGATCTGTCTATGATATCCCATCTGAAAATATGGTAAATTTTAATCCAATTTGCTTAAAATTTGGACTTCTTTTTTTTTTTTTTTGCCCAAAAAATTTGGACTTTAGACTCCATATATATACGCATTAAGAAAAGTTGTTACGTACTATTAATCGTAGCACTGACTATTTTTAAATGTACTTAAGTATTAATTTGTGTGCATTAATTTTTCGGAAGATCGATTTTTTTTAATGTAGCCAATTTTATGTCAATTCTTCAGAACAATTTCATTATTACGTTCACCTCAGTGACAAAGACACGTTAAAGCTAGATACATTGTACGTACTTAGGGACACTTTCAGAAAGATATCATTAGATATTCATAGATTCATATTAAACTCTTCTCACATTATGCCTTGTACGTATTTCATAACAGGGGAAAGTATAAGATATTGAAATTGGATGACGAAGGTACAGTACACCATCATGAGAGAGGGAAAAATAATAACAATCATAAACTACTTATAAGTAGAAAGAAAGTGTTTTCCCTGCCATTCATAAACGTAGGTGATGGTCTAATAATTTAGCATATGCGGACCGATCTATTTTGATTTGCTGATCAGTTAAATGTACTTAAGTATTAATTTGTGGGCATTAATTTTTCAGAAGATCAATTTTTTTATTTTTTTTGGTTAAACCATCCAGTGTCCGACGCCTTTTTTGGGCTCTGGCCTTCTTTGGGTCAGACATCCAAGCAACCAACTAATCTGGATTTGAGGGCGATAGAGTGCGTGTTTGGACGGGTTGGCCTCTCTTCCAATAAGGACGCTTCTCGAGAATCGAATTTGTGTTCTTATCCTTACAGGAGGTAAAGACTCCTTACCATCTCGCCCAACCACTTGTTGGTAGAAGATCGATTTTTTTAATGTAGACAAAACTATCTCAATTTTTCAGAACAATTTCATTATTACGTTCATTTCAATGACAAAGACACGTTAAAGATACATTGCACATACTTACAAGTCATCAAGTAGTTAGTTGAATACGTTTATACATAGACACTTTTAAGTGGACAATTAATCCATCCGTTATTAAATATAAGGCGCAAGTTTATTAATTAATGCACACAAATTAATACTTAAGTACAATTAAAAATAGTTAGTGTTTTAAAAATGTTTTTCTATTCTATTTCGCCTACCATCACTCCCACTGTCCCACACGTTCAAATACAATGAAAATGAAGAATTAGAATTACTTCAATAGTTTTGAGTATTTCTTAGGGACATATTCGGAAAGATATCATTAGATGTTCATAGATTCATATTAAACTCTCCTCACATTATGCCTTGTACGTATTTGATAACAGAGGAAAGTATAAGATATTGAAATTGGATGATGAAGGTACAGTACACCATCATGAGAGAGGGAAAAATAATAACAATCATAAACTACATATAAATAGAAAGAAAGTGTTTTTTCCTGCCATTCATAAAGGGAGGTGATGGTCTAATAATTTAGTATATGCGGACCGATCTATTTTGCTTTACTGATCAGTTATTTCTACCTTTTGGCATAATATAGCAGAGTGATGAAAGAAAAAATAAACAGCCGAAATTGCGTGTATTTATTAATGTCAAAATAAAACACAAGTGCATGCGGGAAATTTCAGAATAAATAGTAATTGGGCAGTGACATGCATGGAGAATGGAGCAATGTTTGTTTTATTGAGATTTTTTTTATACAAAAATTTTAGGAAAAGAGTTGGGCTCACCCACGATCCAAGAACAGGACATCTAACACTTGATCTATTGGGACATGTCCCTATAAGCACGGGAACATGACAAGCAAGCCTTTTTTCTTCTAACCCAATAAGTAGGATTCTTTTAACTTCACTACGCTTTGGAGATGCCTCCCCTAGCACCGCGACCGGAGCCACAACAAAGTGGCACTCCCCGGGATCAAACTCCTTTCTTTTGGTGAAAGACTCCGACCCCTTCGCCAGCTAAACCCACGGACGAGGGGTTGTTTTATTGAGATTAATCACTATTTAGATCAAGATTAGCAAGCTTTTGGGGGCTGCATAATTCAGTGAAGACTAGATTCAATGTGACGACCCCAGCAAAGCCAAAAGAAAAGTCATATGATCAATATGATTATGGTTAATTACCCGTAGAAATTAACTTCATAATTAAGGCCAATAAGAGTCGGTCCTAAATTCCAAATGAAAAGGACTTTAATTCGGCCGGTCTTAATCATTGGGCCCGACACTCCTCAAATATCCCCGATCAGGTAGTCATATGAAAAAAAAAAAAAATAACACGATAATAACAAGGGAAAATCCCAGAAAAAGCTCTTGGAATATACTAAATCCCAGATTGGGTCTTTAAATTTCAAAAATTACAGAATGGGTCATTGACCCAATCTGTCATTTGTGAAATTCAGGCGAATTGACATTTTTGCCCCTAAGCAAAAGTGAGTAGTTATTCTCTAAACAAATCTAAGTAACGCTTATACTGTTCTAGTGATTACAAGATTCGTTGTAGTTAATAATAAGGTACTTGACAATAATAAGATACCTGACTATGAAAAAATGAATAGTTATTCTCTACACAAATTTAAGTAATACTTACATTGTTCTAGTGATTACAGAATTAGTTGTAGTTAATAACAAGACATCTGACTATGAAAAAGTGAGTAGTTATTCGCTACACGAATCTATGTAATACTCTTATAGTGATTCCTTGAATCATTGTAGTGAATGAATAAATGAGGGCAAAATTGTCAATTCGCCTGAATTTCACAAATGACAGATTGGGTCAATGACCCATTCTGTCATTTTCGAAATTTAAGGACCCAATCTGGCATTTCTCATATTCCAAGGACTTTTTTTGGGATTTTCCCTAATAACAAACATATGCAGTAATTAAATTGAAAGAAATGCCTTTGGGAGAGTTACCTTCAACTAATCGTCGAATATCCCCAATTAGATAGTATTAGACATTGGGATCAAATCTACCCTTAATAAGCCGGACTATTTGATCCAAAAGAAAAAAAATCTCTTGGATCAAGAAAATCAATCACAAATCAGAAGCAATTAGTGATTGATTAGAAAATATTCAATCAAGCATTTAGTACTTGATTGATTGGAGAGAAATCAATTAGACATTAATTGATGATCGTGGAATCAGAATGTTATCCCACAATAAATGAGGGAGATTGCACCTGTCTGAAATATGAGCCACCCTGGTCCTATAAATAGGAGGTGCCTCCAACTATTTTCTTCACCCCACACTGTAAAGCTTTCTGGTATTCTCTTCCCCTCTCTCTGC